ATATCTGTGCGGCACCCCAGGGACTCGGTTAGCCATTGTTCATTAAGAATGAGATGGTCCCAGTAGACGAAGCGTATCGCATACTTCTACGTCCACAGGTCGCCTTTCACGGTACTCATACCCTTCAACGCCTTCATTACCCACACCATAAAAATTCCACACCGTCCTCGGGCACAGCCCATTTCCGCTGCCCAGATTTTAGTAATGTAATTTTATTTTGGCCTCCTCTTTGCTGAAGCCTTTTGAATTTGAAGGACCAGGAGGGACCTACGTGGATTGGGAGTGGGTGGGAGACGGAAAGAGAAGCAGATGAGAGAATGATGATTGGGGTGACTGTAATAATTTAGATGTGTACAGGTGAATAAAGTGTAAGCAAAGTAAATGGAGTTAAGGAGATAAAGAAGTAATTGTTAAGTATTATTTTTCTCATAATATCATTTACTTTCAACTGCAGCTTGACATGATAACTATAACTAGTGTATTATTACCTGCATGGAGCAGGTGTGATTTTTTTTCTGTTTTGTAGTTGTTGTTTTTTTGTTTGTTTTTTTTTTTTTTTGTTTGTTTTTGTTTTTTTTTGGGGGGGTGGGGCTGTTCCCGTTGGTGAAAAAATACAAAAATCAATTTAAGTTAGGTTGATCATCAACTTGATGATTTTTTTTTGTATTAACCGTTTTTTTTTTTTTTGTTTTTTTTTTTTTTTGTTTGTTTTTGTTTTTTTTTGGGGGGGTGGGTCTGTTCCCGTTGGTGAAAAAATACAAAAATCAATTTAAGTTAGGTTGATCATCAACTTGATGATTTTTTTTTGTATTAACCGTGAAAAATAGAAGATTATGTATAATTCTTTTGTCAATTTAAATAATTATTTTTAATTATTATTTTATTTAGAAATGCTTAACAACTGAGCTAGGCGCTAATAGCAAACACTATTTTTTAGTACTTAACAATACCCAGTTCTAACTATCACAAACTATTAATTAGGGCTTCATTTTAATTACATTTGTTTTGAATAAAATTTATTATTTTTCTTTTCTTTTTTTTTTTTAGCATTCAGTTTAAGCGTAGCCTCGTTAGAAGCAGATGGTTATCGTATATTAAACAAGAAAAAAAAACAGTTGAAAAAATCACTACTACCTTGTCACAAACTGTTTCACCCCAAACAGCTGAATGGTGGTGGCCTAAAATTCAAATTATAGACAACTCAGCTATGATTTATGAGACATTTTTATTTTGTTCCAATTTTTTTTTTAAATGAACTCTAAACTGATAAATAAAACTATGTATTTAAACTTACTCCTCATAAAACAGTTAAAAGCAAGACAGTGGGGGAAAAATTAGTACGAACATAATAGCCTGAAAGCAATTTGTGTAGAACATTATGTGTATGGAAAATGAAAAGTATGCGATGGTTGACAACAGTAGTTGAGATTCCTTTAAATCATAAATCATCAAGAAGAGAGCTTCCCAGGTCTTTTGTGGTTTCAATTTTCTGAAAGCTTTTTCAAATGACCCACAGACACTAATTTGTGAATTACGTTTTATAGTATGTCATTCCTTAGTCAGAATCAATGGGGTAGGAGAGGGGGTAGCTGGGGGCGTCCGCCTCTGGTGGCACTTTTTTCTTTATATGGTCATGGGCGGCGTTTTCGGCGCAAAAGACGCAAAGTATAATTTAATTTTACTATTAATTACTAATCATTTTTAATATTTAGTGAATTAATTTAACTTTAAATGCAGCCATTGTGATTTTATGCAATTTTGTGTAGTTATAGTTTATTATTAGCCCAAGTACGATAATATTTATATTTTAATTATACTTTCAATGCTTTGATTTTGTATGCCCCCCTCCCCCTTTAGAATCTGTTACGCAAAAGGCGTCGTTTCATTAAGGTCGAAGAGTAAATCCACCAATACCATTATGACTTTCAACATTATGATTCATGATGTCTTTGCACTCTAATAGTCTCCTTGGCATGATACTTAGTCGGACAAGGCGTTTAGGGCATTGGGTACAGCCAACATAAGGACACATAGCTGTCTCTTCATTGTCCATAGACAGTGATTGTAGTACGCCCGGGCTGTGGCGCCTTGAGGCCCATGGGCTAAGACGATTCTCGCACGTAGCACGGTGAAAACAATAAAGAAGTCAAAACAAAACTTGGAATCAAATACTCCTTCAATACTTGCTATCACATTTTTTTTTCATAAAATAAAGAATTTTCCAACTGCATAATTTAGCTATTCAGCCCGAATCCTATTAAAAGTCGCACCGCATAAACTCATTCTAGTCACCCGGGCAACAGTAGGGCAATAGAAATTAAATGCCTTTTTGTGACAGTAAGCACGTTTACGCAATTTTACCCAAAAAAATATTTTCCTATGAAGTAGTTTAAATACATAAATTATTGTAATTTGTTATAAATAATAAAAATGCATAGCTTTTCTCTGTGTAGATTAGCGCAATACTATAATCAAGTAGGCGCAAAAATGAATCCGTAAACTAATACAAAATTCACTATCATTGTTTTTAGTATACGAGCGTAAGGCATCCCCATTGGCTCTTTCTTATACATGTATATGTAACTGTGGACCACATGTCTCGGTAATGAGCGGATACGCATATATGTACGTGTATATATATATATATATATATATATATATATATATATATATGTGTATATATTATATATTATTTTTATGAGTGCTCATGTTGGACACCCCCCCCCACCACACACACAAAATGAAAGAATTGACCTACACCCCTGACTCCTCACCGCCCTCCAAAAAGACAATGATTTGATTTTGGTTCCGCCCTCGTTCATAGCAGCGTTCCAAGAGAAATAACAATTAACTTAAATTTTTCTTGCTTGATATTGGTAATGGTACGACTATCTCCCTTGGACTCGGAACATTATATGTTTCGATAATTAATTATAAGTATTTAGCCTATCCTATATGAAAAAAAAAACATTTTTTAAAAATGTTTTGCATTGACTTATCAATCACTTAATGCACAGACAAAAAAAAATTGTTTATGTATTTTAAATATACATAAAAAGCGCAAAATTCAAAATGTTAGGTTTACTAAATTAACTAAGACTAAAACAAGACTTGACGAAGTCAAATACTTCTCTTCTGGGGATATTGTAGTTCCAGGCTAGATTTTTCACTCTGCTCTAATCTATAATTTGTATGTTGTAAATTAATATTGTATTTTTGTACATTAATGTTGTATTATAGTAAATTAATATTGTATATTATTAATTATATAGATCAACAACAACATGCTGGAGTTGTGTCTGAGGTAGGTGGGTGTAGGGGAAGTGTAGAATTTTCCATTTTACAGTAACTTGATTTAACAATTTAACAAATTATTTTTTTTGGAGAATTGAAAATTATGAGAAAGCAAAGAAGCTGTACAGCTAAATGGTCCCGTCTCTAAATTGACTAAACAAAAAGAAAATAAGCAAAAATACTTTTCATTGTCAATAATTCAGTCATTTCAGTCGACATAATTCAATATTTTGATAGTTTTTAGAAAAGAATGATACATTTTAGAATTTAGTATTGACTATTTGTCATTAAGTTTTTAGATTGATAAAATTGTCGAAAGGGGTCCATAGCCATAATTTTTTGATGCCGAAGGACCCCCTCGGAGCTTAACTTGTTCGGTATAAATGGAATGTTCTAAAATTTTCATCCACGTTTTTGTTTTAGTTTTTATTTAATGACTAATTGTGTCGTCAGTGAAATTCAAATTTTTCATAAACCAATACGTATAGTCTAATAATATATCAATCATGGCTGCCGCCACTGAAACCATAACAAACCGGTTAAATTAACAATGCATTAATACTTACCATGTTCATGTATAAAATTACACAAAACTGAAGTGTTTAGGCAGTGATGTATGCAAACACAATAATGTGTACGAATTTCTTTATTATATGCAATCACTATTCCTGTTTTACCTTCTTTTTAAAGTAATCGCTAAGTCCTTTGCCGTTTTAGTCTTTGGTCATTCGTCTACAGTAAAGTGACTAAAGCCAAGGCAAAACTGGCCGGATAAGAAAAGGTCACATTTTTAAAGTTAGAATGATTTTGACACGTTACTAGGGTCTTCAATTACTAATTCAATTCTAATACTAACTGAGCTATATCGTGTGAATTTTTAATCTGTCTGACTATCGCCGCCAGTATCAGCTTTCACTTGACTTTGTGATTTTATCTTTAGTCTATAACTAGTTCAACATTAGCTCTTTCCGCTGTTTCAGATTTAGCGGCCCACGTTGACTTTGTTAAGGTTAGGCATAGGGATTGATTTAGGGTTCGGGTTAGGCTTAGGGATAGATTTCGGGTTAGGCATAGGGATCGATTTAGGGTTCAGGTTAGGCATAGGGATCGATTTAAGACATAAAAGTGCGCGCATGAAAGTAAACACGGACTGCGTTCTCTGAATTTACCGCTCTTTCACTTTAAAAAAACTAGCCCTAGAATATAGATGTAAAATTTTTTGTGTGTTATATTCTAGGCCACTTTCTAAGTGAATTCATACTAATACTAATACTAAAATACTAGGAAAAGGATCAACTGGGACGACTGGGTATACATTTTGATATTAGACATTTTCAGCAGCATATGGTACAGAATCTGAAATTTTTAAATTTTGGACTTCTATTTACCAAATCTGGGTACAAATCCTAGTATTTTTGTTCCATATGTAACTACACATTAATCATTATTCATGATGATTCTTACTGTTCTATAACACGATCCATGTATAATGGCCCTAATCCTTATTTTATATAAATCTCAACTGCTTTAGCCGTTAAGACTGAGTGTTAGGACTGTCTCTGTCAAACCAGGTGCCTTTTGAAAGCTGATACACTGTCACATGTTTTATTACTTCAATTCTTGAAACCTTTTAATTATTACTCTAAGGAATGGGAATAACCTATTTGAAAATTTATATTTCAGATCAAGATTTAGTCACCTGAGGAATTATTAATTATGAAAAAAGAAAGCAACAAATGTTCAATCTAAACATTAAAAACCTTCCTACATATGAGAACTGTTTAACAGGACTACATCTCCAGCACTATAATCATGTCAGTCTACATAGCAGTGCATTTCCTGATTGAGCAGGTCTACAATCATCCAAATTTTTCTGCTATTTTCTCAATTACCTCATTGCTGCTGTGGCTGTCTATCAGGCGTCCTTATGATATACCACCAAATCCATGGTTCATATTTCCTATTATTGGCCATAGACCTTTGTTGAGAGGTGACCCCATATTGACGTTACGCCGATTACGTAATGAACTAGGGGAAGTGTTTAGTGTTTACATTGATGCTCAGCTGGTGATTGTTGTCAATGGACTAGCTGCCATCAAGGAAGCTTTTATGACAAGGGGTGATGAGTTTCACTGGAGGCCCAGCACACGGATTTGTGATCTCTTTCATTTTGGTAATTTTATTTTCTCACAAATATCATCATTAGTTATATAAGTAATTTTATGCTGATATTTGTTTATGCTTGGAAGGCCTTAAATTTTAGAATGAATTCAATTTTAAAATGTTCTATATCATTAGGGAACAATAAAATATGGCTTTTAACTGATTTTCAGCGCTTCTTAAAATAAACCTCATTACATTTTCTTAAATTTTCTAAGACATTTATCTTCTTGTACACTTATAATAATATCCATTAAATCATTAATGGTATAAACTTAATGCCTATTTATTTTTATTGATATAGAGATGAGATCATATAATGTAGAAACCTCTTAATTGTTTTACATGTAATTTATATCATATTTTTACAAAGCAATACTCTTGTATGCTATTGTAAGCAAGCTGCAGCAAACCAGTTTAAAAAACATTGAGTTAGTTGTCAGTAGTAGGGAAATTAGAAAGGTATGGAAAGGAAATTTCTACAAAATAAAACAAATTTACCACTTAATCAAATAAACTTTATCTTTTTAACACAAGGTGTCATCTGCAACTCTGGGAAAGAATGGAGAGAACAAAGATCTGTGACAGATGCAGGAATCCAGCATGTCAGTCCTAATGTCAGCCTGCTTGTTAACAAAGAGGCTGCACATCTCATAAAAGCATTGCAGCAGGAAGAGGGGAAGCCGTTTGATGCTAATGTAAGTATTTATTTTAAGTTCCAGATGCTGTAAGTTAAATGGCAAAACTGTGAGTTCTTGTTTTAGTCTTGTTTTACAAAATTATTTTTCTCTCCATTAATAACTGCATTGTTCTAATTCAACTTTTAGGTTCTTCTGCACTCAGCTGTATTCAATGCAATCTCTTCGGTTATTTTTTCGCGACGGTTGGATTACAAGGACGTTCGCATGGAAAAGGCCATTGCTCGTTACAAGGAAAACCTTGATTTGTTCTCAGACAGCAAGTTCCCAAACTTTTTTCCATTCCAAAAGTTTCTAATGGGTGATTTCTTTGATGTGAAATTCCTGCGCATAAATATGACCGAGCTCCACCAAAAGGTCATCAACCCAGTTTTTGAGGAGCACAAGTCAGAGTATGCTGATGATAACATAGTAGATTTCCTAGATGTTTACCTGAGGGAGATGAAGGCATACAAAGGTGTAGAAAAGACAACAGTTGAAGGTGAGGAAGGTTTCTGTACACACATAGAGCTGGGACTTGATCTGGCTAAATTTTATCAAAAGCAGACTTCAAATGTTATTCAAAACTCAAATATATCTTTAATGAGGTACCTTTAATGACATTCCAAAAATGTGTACCGTAATGCTCATTTAAATTTTTTAACCACTTCATTACTGCAGGGTCTTGGGCATCGATTTTTGCTGACTCTGCAACAAAAAACTTAAAAGATGAAATTTTCTGTATATTTCATTCTCTATCTGATTCGCTTTTTAACTTCACTATAGATTAACGAATAAGGAAATATATAGCATTGAAATTTGACGTCGACGTGACGTCCTTTGGTATTTCAGAAAAGTTCTTAAATTTCTGTTATGATGACGATGTGATGTCCTTGGTAATTGAAAGTGTGTGACCGTGTCGTCGCGTCACAGTGACGTCGCGTCGACGTCATCGGTAATGAAGAGGTTAATAAGATTTTTATCTTAATTAATATTGGTTTTTACAAAAATATTTAAAAACCAAATTTTACAAAAATATTTAAAAACCAAACTTTAACTAACAATATTTTAATCTTGTTTAAATTAATGTCCATTGCAAAATCATATATTATGAATTTATCTGATCCATAAGCTACAGATTGTAACCATTTCTTTGACTTCAGCTTTGTTTAATTAAACAGAAAAATGTTAATGTATTTTTATACTAAATGCTAGGTTGTATGTCTGTTGTGTTTCTGAACTATTTAATCTCATTTATTTTATTTGATCACTACAATATATTTCTGGTTAGATCCATTATCTTTCATAGTCTGTTATTTAAAATAATTTCTTGCATTTCATATGTGCATTTAATTTATGCATCTCCTAACCCTAATGATTGATGGACATTATAAGCACCCTAAGCTTAAAGGCATAATAACGTTTTAAAATTTTTCGGAATAACAGTTTGAATACTGTGTAATGATGGAGGGTTGGTGATCTTAGAACAGGTGGATAATACAATGTGATTTAATCTTTTAGAGAGAAGTTGCCAGGCTGTACTATACGACTTATTATGGCATGGAACTGTTACCACAGGGGCAACCCTTTACTGGGCACTGGTCTTTCTTATAAGAAATCCCTCAGTTGCTGAAAAAGTTCGTGAACATCTTGATAATACACTTGCACAATCAGGTATTGACTTATGAACGTTTACTTACCTTACTTTTTTAATTTATAGGTCTCAAAGTCCTTTTTAATTCTAGCAGCACAATGTTAAATTTCAAAGTATTGATTATGACCAAATTTTAAATGTTCATGGTGATAATAACATTCAAATATTTCTGGGACTAAGCAAAAGCTAAGTGTCTCTTTCAAATGGGCTAAGTAACTTTTTTTTGTGTTATTGCAGAAATCAGTGCTGAGCCAGGAGAAGATGGACTCAAATTAAAGTCTGAACTACCTACATACTTCAAGGCATTCATTCATGAAGTTCAGCGTTGTGCTAACATATGTCCAATATCCATGGCTCATGCTGTAGCTAAAGAGAAATTTCTTAAAGGATACAGGTAGGACCAAATGGCATTCTTTACGTAACCACATGCAATATTTGTAAAAAAAACAATTTATTCTTGCATTTCTTAATGTCAACTGGAAAACTGTGCTTTAATTGTTCACATATAATTACAAATGGGTGCTGGGTGGCCAAGTGGTCTTCACTGAGCAAATCTCAAGTTGATGGTCTGGAGTTCAATTCCTACCAAATCCCAGTCAAGCAAAACCATCACCAGCACCCCGGGAGGATGGGACTTGTTAACCCTGGATGGAAACTCATCTAAGAGAAGGAAACTCTGAATTCAAACCCAGGGATGGAGTCCCGTAGGCCTATAACTTTGGTACAATGAAACATTCCGGCAACTCCTGCGACACCACTGGTGCCAAGCTTTATCATCCACATGTTGTACCATTGGTTTATCTGTTTATGTTTCTTCGATTATGTGTGTGTTGTTAAAATATTATTTGATTCATTATTTTTAAATCTCTTAGAGACAGATTTTCAGATTTCTGTTTTTAATTATTCAGGCAGTTTTTGTATCAGTAAGTTTAATGTAGATGTTTTCTGCTGTAGAATTCCTGGCGATGCTGTCATCTTGCCAAACCTTGACTCACTCATGATGGATGAAGATATCTGGGGGGATCCGCATGTCTTCAGACCTGACAGGTTTATTAACTCCGATGGCAAGCTGTTATTACCTCATGAGTTTATTCCATTTTTCCTAGGTAAGTCGTTGATGTCTGTGAATGAAATTTACCTTTTCCATTTGAAAAACATAAATGTTCTAGTAATTGTATTAGAACCATGTCATTGACAGATGGCATGATTTCATAACCAACATTAAGGAAAAACAACCATTATATTTAGTGTTTGATGCCTTAAGAAATTTGTATAAGTTAGTATTTATAACGGATTGATAATAGCAATGGTAACAGTTGAATTGCTTACTAGAGTAATGGAAAAGTTTTTAAGTATTCTATTGACAGTGGTGTAATGATACTTTTTGAAATGATCAGGTTTATTATTAATTAGGAAATGAATGTCTATAAATTATTTAGATGTATATCTCACTTTATGTTTAGAAAATCATGTGAAAACATTAAAAAAATGTATTTCAGGCATCAGGAGCTGTCCAGGTTCCATTATCGCAGAGATCATCTTATCAACATTCTTAGCGCATCTCATTGTCAGTTTTGAACTTCACCCTGAAGTCCCTGGTGTGCTGCCGTCTGTTCAGAGGAAAAGAGGTTTAATCCCCTATCCTCCAGATTTCAAAATAAAATGTGTCTCTCGTAAATGAAACGATTATGCTCAATAAGAATTTTTAATCACACATTGAAATATGGGAACAAAAGTATTTTCACAGAATATTGCTGAGTATGAGAAGAAAAGAAATGATTGTCACTGATATTGCTTGTCTGTGTCTGCATATATTTTTATTTTTCAATGTTAACTGGAGAAGAAAAAAATATTAGTTTAGCCAGGTGTTGCTCAATGTTAAATGGACAATTGTTGGTATAAATTTTAAAAAATTGTCATTGTTTGAATGTTAAATGCGTGTTAAATTTCTATAATTTCGTTTTCATAATTGGGCTTGAATGTTTAAATGGTTAAATAAGCCGAATGTAGTAAATTAACAAGGCTTTTTGGCAGTTACACTCTTGAACTTTTAGAGTTTATTTGGGTGGAGAAATGCACAAATTTAAATCTTGGTATCTGTTGTAGCTAAAGTTATGAAAGTGAAATGATAATATCATAAATGAGGCATCTTATTCTAAATCATTGATTCCAATATTATGCAATCCTGAAATGTTGGGATTTGATTATTTGTAAGAGATTTCAACTGCTGAATCATTTTAAAAACAAATCTTTTGGTGTTATGGAAACATGGTTCTTAGATCAAATCCCCCCAATTATATTTTGTGTAATGACTTTTAATTTTATATTTATGAAAGGTTATGAAAATCAAAATATACTGTGCCAGTATTGGACTGTTTGATTTATTGGGTTAGTGAGCATTTTTAAAACATATGTATCAAGGCTAACACGATAAGACTGAGTAGTATGAGTACTAAACTAGCACCACCATAGCTGAAGCCAAAGGGATGACTTATAGTACATGTTACTGGTGCTGTAACTATATTACCTCACACTATCATGCACTGATAAAAGCAGGGTCGTAAACCTTGTTTTACTAAGAGCACCATGTCCATTTTTTCATTTAGTATAACTAAGACAAAGGAGAAGAAATTTTTCCTTCCCCCCAACCATTTTGATAACTGTCCTGGTTTTATTTCTAATATTTTGTTATCTGATGTGGCTCTGTTAAAATGGTCTTAAATTTGATTAACTCCTCTTGAGGCGGCTGGACAGATCTATAGACCCAGGGTCGAATGGCGAAAAAGACGAAAGGCAAATCCTTCTGCCCACTGTCTGATATAAAAAATTTTTTTTTACCTAGTGACCCCTATATATGCTTGAAAAATGTGTGACCCTGAAATATGCCAAAAGGCATAAGGAGATGCACTGGAATATTTTATGCAGTTTGTCACATTGTATCTTATGCAAATGATTGTTAGGACTTATTTAGGCTTCAACAATCTGAAAACTCAACAAAGTTCTGAAAGTAAGACATGTTTATCCTGAGTGTAAACTTAATTGCACACATAAATTATGCTTATCTGGCTACCTCATTTGCATAAATTTTGAGATTTATAAAGATCATATTATTTCATTCAATGCCAAAAATATATATAGTTTTATATTTGCAAAGTAAATAGTAAATTTTTTATAAATTTCTTTGCAAAGTAAGTGCATTGCTTGTGAACGGGGCTCTGTTTTCTTGGCACCGACAGTCCAAAAAGACTCAAGAGAGTTAAAGTTAATTTAACTGTTTTCTTCCAGGTTGCTCAAAAAGTTTTATTATGTGTTCTTCCTCAAGCTATTTGCATTATTTTATGTATTTCTTCCAGTGTTAAATTTTTAGCAAATTGCTTTACACTGTATTATTTCTTTGTAAATGGAGGATTACCTCCCTTTGCACTAAGTCTTTTAATGATGGGCTTTAACTTTGACAAACACAGGTTGTATTCATGTAGAAAGTTATACTTACAGTGATTTTCATTCATTCTATTTCCTTTAGGAGCTAGGGATAAACCCAGAATGATTATTTTAATATTTTGTTGCTGGCGAACAGTTTTAAATTGTTCATTTTTTTAATAGTTGGGTTTTACCATTATCTTTAACAGTGCAAGCAAAAGTGTTATTTAGAATTGTTATTAAGTTATGATCAACATTACTGTTCATCTACAACATACAGTTCATTTAATGGTTGTTAAAACTGACCCAAAAAATCAATCATACCTGTTTGGAATGAGGGCTAGAATTTAATTGGAAAAAAATTTACTAAAAGGCATTGATGGCCATGTGCGATTAAAGAGCGGTAAATATATCTCAATAGCACTGAAAGGGTTAAAATAAAGTGATAACATATAGCTACAACTATGTGAATTAGGTCGTGATTTTCCAAAATTAAAAGTTTAAGGGAGACGCGTGTTTTTTACCTATTGTTTTTTTACATATTGAGTAGTGTTACCATGGTTGGCTTTGAATCCAACTTAACTTAAAAACATGTTATTAATGTTAGTATTATCATTGTTAAAAAGAAATTATGTTCAGTGAGAATTGAACTGAGAATAATTGACTTGTGTCAAGACACTTGAGTGCTGGTTGTCTAAGAATACCACTCTGGACTGAGTTGATTTATTATTATCAGTGCAGCAGTTTTCAACAATTTTGTCACCAATTGTTCACTGGGGCGTCCCAAGATTTTATCTTAAACTTAAAGGAATATTCAGCAATGAAAAAAACGTTTTCTTGAAATTCAATCTACAAAGTAAAATTTAATATAATATAATAATTTGCTTTCAAGATTCATTTAAATGAAATAGCTGATTTTTAAATATACTTGATTAGTATGCCATAGAATGTCCATAACATAAAATAAGTTGAAAATAGTTGCATTAGTTCATAAGTAGATTTATTAATTTAAAAATGTCCACTGGACACACAAATTTATTTAAATTGAAAAGGCTTATTTTATCATTTGTAAGTCTTCATGATGTTTTCTATTTCATATTTTGAGATTATCTATTAATGTTATGATAACTTGGATACTTTGTGTATTGAGAACAAGTCTCAAAACCAAGTGTCACCTAATTGTTAACAGAACTTAAATATAAATTACATTCAACTATTGTCTGCACATTTGTTTCTCAACAAAAAATTTCCCTCCATTACAGGTTGTAAAATATAGGCATAGACAAAAATTGTTAATCATAACATAGGACAATATTAGCATATTTATTTGACTTAATGTAAAATGCACTTGTTCTGTCTCAGCTGTGAATGAGAAAAGTTTTAAATGCATCACATGCTAAAAGCAAGACTTCTCTATTATATTTGGATCGTGTTGTCAAAAAAAAAAAAAAAAAAAAAAAAAAAAAAAAAAAAAAGCAAGAATACATTCATTCACTCTTGACCTTGCGTAGCAAGTTATCATCAAACAGATATAGCAAAATTTGATAGGGCTCGACCAAAGTTTCTTGATATATAAAGATATTGTGGTTTCATTTCATGGTTATATTTTACATGGAATGTTTTGAATTTGAGCTAAGCTATGAGGTTACCTTTGCTTTTGTCCTTCACATTCTAGATAAAGATCTGAACCTTACATATAAACAGATATATGTATATAAAAAAACAAATATATATATATATACTGTCAGGACTCTTTTGCATTGATCTGTTCTTGTGTTATTTTAAAATGAATAATTGCATTTATTTTTCCTTGTGATGTAAAATTAAACTATTTAATACAAGCTGTGTGTTATCTTTTCTCTAGTTGTACAAGCTTTGTGTTATCTTTTCTCTAGTTGTACAAGCTTTGTGTTATCTTTTCTCTAGTTGTACAAGCTTTGTGTTATCTTTTCTCTAGTTGTACAAGCTTTGTGTTATCTTTTATCTAGGTGTACAAGCTTTGTGTTAACTCTTCTCTAGTTGTACAAGCTGTGTGTTGACTTTTCTCTAGTTATACAAGCTGTGTGTTGACTTTTCTCTAGTTGTACAAGCTGTGTGTTAACTTTTCTCTAGGTGTACAAGCTGTGTGTTAACTTTTCTCTAGTTGTACAAGCTGTGTGTTAACTTTTCTCTAGGTGTACAAGATGTGTGTTAACTTTACTCTAGTTGTACAAGCTGTGTGTTAACTTTTCTCTAGGTGTACAAGCTGTGTGTTAACTTTTCTCTAGTTGTACAAGCTGTGTGTTAGTTTTTCTCTAGGTGTACAAGCTGTGTGTTAACTTTTCTCTAGTTGTACAAGCTGTGTGTTAACTTTTCTCTAGGTGTACAAGCTGTGTGTTAACTCTTCTCTAGTTGTACAAGCTGTGTGTTAACTTTTCTCTAGGTGTACAAGCTTATGTTAACTCTTCTCTAGGTGTACAACCCGTGTGTTAACTTAAATCTAGGTGTACAAGCTGTGTGTTAACTCTTCTCTAGTTGTACAAGCTGTGTGTTAACTTTTCTCTAGTTGTACAAGCTGTATGTTAACTCTTCTCTAGGTGTACAAGCCGTGTGTTAACTTTAATCTAGGTGTACAAGCTGTGTGTTAACTCTTCTCTAGTTGTACAAGCTGTGTCTTAACTTTTCTCTAGGTGTACAAGCTATGTGTTAACTTTTCTCTAGGTGTACAAGCTGTGTGTTGACTCTTCTCTATTACTCTATGTGTATTTTCTTAGTCAGATCTAATCCATGCAAATCTATATTTATATCTCGCCACAAAGTAAAAATAGGAAACAATTACTCCAGACCATTATATTATCCCAGGCATCTGTGTACTTAAGCATGTCAACAAAAACTTTCTCACGCTAAAGGTGTTACAAGGCTGACTGAAAACGGAAAGACTTGTATAATAAAATCAAATCATTTTGATTATTGTTCCCTTATTAAATGTGATGTAGTTATGCACACTTATCTTTTCCTCATGATTGAAAAGACGTGCATTATATTAGAGCTTTGAAGGGTTAAGTCTTTATTACAACATTTAACATTAGAATAAATGACCCGGTGTTATCGGGATAATAACGGCAGATCTAGTTCTATTGCGATCATTTCTACCTGCTATTGCGAAAACTCATCACAATTCCTAACTTTAAAAAGAAGTATCTATGTAATAATATTTACGTTTCAAACAGCATTAATTTGTTATAAGTATTTATCTGCTATATATTATACGCCTGCCCTACTCCTTTTCACACCCCTAAATTACTTTTTCTCATCTAAACATGACCTTAAATTACCCAGTCTAAATTATCACTTTTGTCACTAAAGAAGTTAATTGAGGGACGATTTCTACGCTAGAGAAATAAATTAGATTTACCCCTTTTCATCCCCTTGATTTACTTTTTTTTCTAAAAATTGGACAAGAAAAAACAATAAAATGACATAAATATTTTTAAGGAATTTGATATATTTATATCTTCATCAAAAATGTAAAAACACTTTTGCCTTGTTTTTTTAAAATTATACATTAACAGAAAATCTTATATAAAAAAATTCTTTATCTAGAGATGATCCTCGCAACCGTTTTTCACTCATTTATGTCTTTTTAAAAAAAAAATTAAATTGTTAATCTCATAAACATAGACACTATCACACCTCGTTACTTTTTGCAAAGTAAAAACAAAAATATATTTTCATTTTTGTTAAAGTAAATATTAACCCATTTCTATTTTTCAAAATTAATTTTTCCAGTGTGTAAAATGATGGGGTTTTGATCTTCACGGGCAAACTTATATAAAGGTACCCACCTTTTGATGACGTCATGGGCTTACTTATATAAATGTACCCACGATTTGTTAACGCCTTTAGAAATTTTCTTATTTGGTAAACATCTGTTTATTTGTAAAAAAAATGTAACATCTCTTTTTCACAAATGTAATACCATAAGAGTTAACTATATTGTCATCCACGTAAAAGTGGACACATTTTATTTCCTACCTCCGACATGTATGTACTAAAGAAAATTAATTATTTATCAAATTCATTCCTTTATTTTAAGACTATCTTGTGCTGCCTGGGGAAAAATGAAAAAACACGTATTTGTAAAAAGAGAATGTAACATCCTTTTTTTTTCAAAAAATGTAATACCATAGGATTTAAATTTATTGTCATTAATGTGAAAATATACACAACCTATGTCCTACCTCCGATATGAATCTACCCAAGAAAGTTAATTATTTATCAAATTCATTCCTTTATTTTGAGACGTTTCTTGTGCTGCTTGGGGCAACGTGAACAACCCCCCCCCCCCAACCCGGATTTAAATAAAATTAGAAAATCTTCCACCGGATTGTAGTCCCTTTCATACCCAAAACTAACATATTTTGCACTTCATATGGTTCGTTCTTATTTGTATGAGTTACAAGTGGATTAGTGAATACTATTTGGCAATGGAGTTGCGCTGCACTGATTGCCTTAAATTTAAAAGGCATTTTTTTATTAGGAGTATATTTAAAGGTAAAGTTTTTATAACGTTATAAATTTAATAAAATTATATTTTTGGAATTAAATAAAGTAAAACTTATTAAATGTTTAAAATACAAAGCTAAATTTTTTTGTGTTTTATTGACAATTTAAAGAGCAATCAATTAAATTTATAAATATTACTTTTGAGAAGGGGGGGACATA